TTTCATGCAAAATATTTTATAAACATAAAAAATGGCTTTTTTTTAATCAGAAAAAGTCATAGGAAAAGCAGTTAAACCTGCTGTCCTTATGACTTTTTCTCAAGAAAAAACTTTTCTAAATCATTTATTTTATCATTAGGTATTATTATAATAATAGACAGATCTCATCGTCTCTCGAAATACAATATTTTTTTTATTTAGCTGTCGATAGCCCGACACGTGTTCCGCAGCCATCTTGTATTTTCTCGCGCGCGTTGGGATTGTGGAACCTCTCGTATGACTGGACCTAGTTTCAAGAACTCTCTTGAGTCGATCGCGATTGAACCTGGTTTCAGTCGAGATTGAAACGGTCGATGGAGGTTGCACCAAGGCGAACGGGGTATAAGGCTCTAGTTTAGTAGTGTTAGAGTATAATACGTATATTTTAATATATTTTTTAAAAGAAACAAAACCTGAGAAATGTTACGTGGGTTTAACAACGGGTTCGGAAAACTTTGAAAATGTTAAGAACGGGTTCGGCCGAACCTGTGCGAACCCGCTGAATATCACCACTGCATTTATCACATACTTCCATGACACTCTTGTCTGTCCGCTACAACTGCCAAGAATTAACGCGATTTGGGAAGCGTAGTGACAGCGGGCCAACAGGGAGCAGGATCCTTGCCATAATGCGGTTTGCGCGCCAATTTTCGTACGTGCGTTAATCAAGCCGAATAGTTTGGCCGAATATTCGGCTATTCGGCCACGCTCCTGACCGAATATTCGGTATTCTGTCTGAGGCCGAATATACTATTCGTTACAACACTAGTAATTTCATAAATTGCAGTAAGATATTTATTTTTATTTTCGTGGCTACGACTCTTCATTCCGTGTTTTCGGATTTATTGAAGTTGAAGAATGCATTAGATTTTCGTACAAGCTGTGATCGAAACTTCACAAATCTTACTGAGAAAAATGACTAAATTTTATTCTTATTTAACAGATCAATCTTACGGCGTAAAAATTGCGAAAATAAATAATTTAAATATATAAATTTGAGATTAATTAATTAATGAAATTTAGAAGCTCAAATACAGAACTTTATATAATTATACTATAATAGATTAAGTACATTCTCAACTGAGTATACTTTTTAAAATATAAACAAGTGGTCCATTTTAAAGCAAAGTGTGTCCTGCTTCGATCAGTGTTAACATTTTCTCAGTAAATAAAATAAAATTTAATTCATGAAATATATTAATGAAACATCCGGCGATTATTCTATGGTAAGCTTTTATGGGAAACTGGCACATATCTCGGTGTTACTTATAAATAATTTTTACGCGGCCGTTCAATTGTGATGCGTGAACACATATACAATGATCAGTTATTTTATCCACTCTGCTCCAGCTGGCATTTAAAAAAAAATTAGCATTTTCTTCTGAATTGTTAATTCAAATTTTTTAACTGTTTTCAAGTTTTCGTGCAGAAATAAACAATATTTAAATTTAAATGTTTAATTTATGATTAATTACTCTATTTTATCACGAAGTTTGAGTGACATCGAATCTAAAAATATTGTAGACATTTTAATATACTATATTAAAATTGTCAAATTTTACATTTCAAGTGACTCAATTTTGCAAGCTTATTGCTAATTTATGATGCTTAATAAGAAAGCACTTGTAGAAAAAACTGGAAGCAAATATACTAATCACATTACACCTTTACACTTTTCCATCAATAGTTTAATCAAAAACAAACGTTTTCGACCCCATTCAGAGGTCTGTTTTCGGTTGAAAACGTATTAAAATACAAAGTAAAGATTTCTAATGGTTCTCTTGGTTTATTGGGCTATCAACTAGAGACTGCCATGGTTTGGGTAACGTTATCTCCTTGAAAGTAATGTATTCAACCTTTCTAGATTTGGAATACTTCGCAAGCTTCTGTAGCTCTTCCATCTACTTACACATCATAAACGTGACACAGGTAACAAATACGAAACTTCTTATGCAAGTCAGCAATTGTTTGTTGTATTTGCTTAACAAGTTCTTAACGATTTTTAAAAAAGAGTCGATATTATTTTGGAAATATCTTACGATAATTTAAAAAATTCTTAGTTATTATACATTAACAAATTTAGATTAAGTAATCATTTAATGTGCTCTAGTGGAAGTCATGAAATCAACACATCATATGGCATTATATGGTGTTTAAACGTGTCAACCTCTAATAAAAAGTTTCATCACTAAGATATTCAATTGTTTGGGATAAAACAATGCTGTTTCAAGCTTCAAAACGTGTTTTCGACTATTAATTTTTAGTGTAATTTCCAAATTGACGTTTCATTACATTTTTCTGACTGATGCGAAACATCCCTCATCTTTAGTAGTCCGGAGTATACAGAGTGCAATGACTTTGCCATCTACAACGATATTAACATTGTTTATAATTTATTGTTTATTTTAAACTTTCTAAATTTACAAAATATATAGAAATAAAACATACTCTGAACGGAAACCTCTTGTTAATGAAGAAAATATTCCCTATAGAAACTTTCAATGCCACTTTCCCAAATCGTTTCATGAAATTTAGAAGCTAAAATATAGAAATAATAAATATTTTTGTTTAAAAATGATATATAATAAATAGTATAATAAAGAATTATATCAAGTTACAAAAGACATACTTTCAACTTCGACTGTATAGGCAAAGAGCAAACCGAAAATTGCCTAATATCTTGAAAAGTATTTTCCATCTGAAAAACATTAAATACAATGTTTACAATTAAAACTTTGACTTTAAATTGTATTAATAATTGTACTCACTGAAAATGCCAAACAGCTGAGAAGAAAACAGCAAAGGAGACAAACAAATGTTAACAAAACAATTAATCCGAAAATCACGTATTCCATTGTTTTATTCATTTCTATAAACAGGTAGGAGTAATAGGAGAAACTGGTTCCTGATACAAGACTGCCGTATATAATGACACACATAAAACTAATTTTATTGTTGAATTGCGAAATAAAACCCCACAGTTGTTCGTGATGATCCATGAATTCTATCAGTTTCAAGTTCAGATTCAATTGCTTTCTTTTTAGTGATGCCAATTCTTTTGATTGATGTTGAAATTCTAATATCGACACGACTATAAGTGCAGCATAGAATAGTAGAGCAAAAGCAATTCCTCCAATTATATAATTGATCCATAATGCATATTTGATGCTGCAGAATAATGCTTCATATTCAAAATACCTTGCATTGTGCCATAACGGATATGAAATGAATATATTCGTTAATGTTATGATAAAGATCACGATAATCACAATCAATGATACTAGTAGGGAAATAAGATTGACTGCCTTGTTTACCCTTACATTTTGGAAAATATCATTTCTTAATTGAATTTGTAAACAAATTTTGTTGCGTTTGACAAAACTAATTGTTAAAGCCACAACAAATCCTATAATTAATGTTACAATTTTGACCATATTCAACGAATTTTTGGCTGCTGAATAAGAACCAACGCAAGGAGCAATTTGCTTTAGAAACGGTACGTGTTGCCAAGTTAACATCAGAAATTGAATCCAAGCTCCAATTTCGATGATACCAAAATACCATTTTTTTAATACTATGAGAATACTGTGAATTGGTTTTTTGCTATGGCAACTGCAAGGAATTTCCAGTTCCAAACTGAACAACAATGCAAAATTTAGTATGNTAAATTATCATCCGGCGAAATTCTACATTTGGCATTTGTTACTGCATAAATAGAAGTTATATACTTGATAACGATAATATAAGAAATAAATATCTGAAATTTATTCAGTTGCTGCTGTGGCAATTTACCATGCTTATTATATGGCAAGCATTGCCAAATTTAGGTGAAAGTGCAATTTGTATTGGATGGTTTCTTACTTTTAAAAGTGACGCTAAAGTTGTAAATGTAGCAATTGCAATTGTATACATAGTATACTCGGCATGCGTAACTTACGTGTATAACAACAAGGTTAATCTGATAAAAAATCTACGAAACAAATATTTCTATGTGAAAATAAATGTTGAAAGTAATATTTTAATGAGAAATGTTTCTCTCTTCTTTGCTTTAATTGTTATAGTTATAATTATTATTTTTTAACTTGTCAATTTGATTTCTTATTACTTTAATTTGGAAAAACAGCAAAGTTTCAATTGGAGGCTCCTTTGTTTAGTATTGACGTTGGTATTGTCACGATTTTAATCATAGGAGGAATTGTTCACGGCTTATTGTTATGTGCTTTAATGTTACTTGTCGCCCATAAAGAGTTTGAAGAACTTCTTGATCAATTGTCTGCTATTAACAGAAAAGGCAATGATTTAAAAATAAAATTAAAAATCCTGATGATGCGCCATGAAGAATTGTGGATATTCATGAATCAATTGAACACGAAATTCAAGTATGTCTTCGTTGCTGTTTACTTCAGTATCCTCTGGGCAACAAGCTTTTTGTATTATGCATTCTTATTCATCTTCTTCGATAGTTCGGCGATTGTACGATTATGTACTGTACATATCAGGAGATTCAATTTGGCACAGAATATTAAGTGCACAAATCATGCGCACGTAAAAAAACTAGACTTATATGTAGTCAGGGAACTGAAAACTGAGTCAATATAAAATACAAAATGACAACATTCTTTTTACAAACAGGCACTAGTGCGAAATTTGCTCGTGTGTTGCCCATTGGGAAGTTGGTAATGCGAACATTGTGAAATCAAATTTTGACAAGTGCGTGCATTGGGAAGTTCAAAATGCAGAGCTCTGAATGAGGTGTCACTGATCCCCAAATGTAGACTCCCCTGTAGGAACAAAGGAACCATACCCTTATGCATGAGATATAGCCCTTTAAAGAATTGCCTACGTTATTTCCGGTCACATGACACAGCGCCCATAATGGAGCCCCGGAATATCGCAGGCGCGGTCTCGGGATGCCAGGTAACACCTATCGTTCAAAAAAAGCGCATGCTCCCCTTTCTTAATTATCCTTGCACGTGCCTCCCCAATCTCTTCTCGCTGCTGCCGCTGTTTCCCCTTCCACAAGGCATGCAGGCTATGTCTCCTGGCTGAAGATGTCCGAAGCCACCATCTGTTGCCTGTAAATACAACAATCTATTATTATACGTCTTAACTGAGCCGGGATGTAAACCCCAACCTTGCTAACGTCGCTTGAAAATGAGACGATGGACTGGTGGCCCTGTCCAGCAGGCCGTGTGCAACGGTACCCTGTCTTGCATCTACAACACCTTTTTCCAACGAGCCCAACTCTCAGGTTAACAGGTATGATATTTCAGTCGCTAGTGAAACGTGTTCACAGAATCAGCAGTTTCCTTTTCCCTGGGTCACGCTACATTACGCATTTCTGTAATTCATCATACCGCTTAAGATGATGTACGTGTATATGAGATGTGTTTTGTTTGTATTTTACAGATGCTGATTCCTATTTATGCCTGGGTAAAGTGGAGCACCGTTGCTGTGGAGGAATGAAGCATTGCCCCACCCACAGCAATAGATTGGTACAACTTCTGCTGGAAAGTTGCAGAGGTTTTCGTCTCCCATCAGGAAAATATCCAGCTTGGTGGTGAAGGATTATCAAGGTGACCATTGATTCACGTTTCTGACTTCGCAGAAATGTCTATACCTATATTCATATGATTTCTTTCAGATCGATGAAACCTTTACCCGAATACGAAAAAAATACAATTGCGACCACATAACTATAGGCAACCAAATAACTATATTTGATGCCTATTGTTAGGAAATGTGGGAGGTAATGTACTGGCATGTAAGTAGTAGCCAAACATTATTTCCTTTTATTTTTTAGTTTTAGTGGAAGTTTCGTGTGAAGTAGCGACAGTTGATGAAAAACTTTCTGTCAAAACCCAAAATAATTATCTTTCTATTTTAGAGGTTTTGTGTTATATTTCCTGTATTCTTTCAGGTGGACAACTAAAGCAGGCGCGTTCTATGGAACCACATGCTCAGATGCATCGCTCCTGGTTCCATCATCGTTTGAGACTGCGCGGCTAAATATCGCGGTTGTACAACGATGGGCTTTTCACACCCAACATAAGACCATTAATCACAGCCAGTGGGGCCCCGGAAGGTAAGTTAGGATAAAACTGTTCTGTGTTAACTGAAAGAAATGAACTGGCATTATTGAAAAAAGGTTAGCAATGCACCAGTTAATTGATGCGATCTATTAATAACTCACGTGTATTGGGTTGATAATAGGTTCAGAAAGGATTTCCCAAATGGATAAGTACAGTTAGGTAAGGTTATTACCCCATTCTGTGCAGGGAGTATGTGGAGAGGCACGAGAGAAGAAAGCTCCTGTAACTGCTTCAAAACTCGCTAACCATTTCCATACTTACCCATTTGGGAAATCCTCTCTGAACCAATAAAGAAATAATCCAATACACGCGAGTTAGATCCCATCAATTGACTGGTGCCCTGCTAACCAAAAAGTACCAAAATGGGTACCCAAAAATGATATTTTTATTATTTCTCCATGCAGATTCGTTTATAGTGATGATCCCCAAGGCCAACACTCGAAACATCGAGTTTAGAAATTGCTGGCTGAAGAAGTCCATCAAGTTACTTTGCACCTCTAATTGTTTTATGACTATTTACGAAAATTTCGTTCAGTTAGAAATGAGTCAAATTTCGATTTTATTATTAAAATTAACTGCAAATTTTTTATATCATTTACCAATTAGTTTTCTCAGATCTGGTTACATTTATTTTATTTTTATTTGAAATTCTAGCATTATAATTAATTGTGTATAAATAACACTTGTTATTACTAGTGAATTTACATCATCAAATTTTGCCAAAAATTCTTTTCTAAAATACAAAATTCTTATGTTTATATAAGCTTTACACTAGTCACATAAGAAGCATCAAAAGTAATAAAATACACAATAAAATTGACTTTGTCTAAATTGTATGTTCCAACAAAAATGTTTCAATTCCATGGATACATGCTTTCCTTTGCTTGCTCGTCCCAGGCATGTTTCATTTGTTTCGAATATGGACTATTCATAATAAACATCAATCATTCCACTCTCAGCTAAGTCCGACCTCTTCAGACAAGTTCCCATGAGTGGGCAAGCTTTATTCATTTCACTTCCTAAGTTCTAACTCCCACAAGTGAACGGTAAACACTTTTAATCTTCTTCGTTTCACATTCTCTCTGCCCAACACCCTAGTGTTTCTACAGTGCACCTAAAAGTTTTTACAAGAACTACCACAAACATTCACAATTCGTGAGTTGATACTCCTAGGTATGATTTATGGTGCCTCTGTGCTAAGTGCAGTTCGTGTTGTCTCCGAGATTAATTGGTGCTCCTCTAAGAAGGGAAATGAGCTTCCTTTCAAAGATAACAGTACTAAACTAGATGGAAGAGTGATGGAGTTACACTTATCTGTTAACTGTGTTTATTAATTAAACAGCTCACTACCGTGTGCTGAAGGTGCATGATGGTCCTTTGTGTCTCTAAAATATCAATATAAACTTAGATCTGATCATAGAACTGAACCTAGAATGCACCTGGACTCCTCATCGACTTTTGGCAAGCTTTTGTGTGAAGACTATGCCGCTGTGACTTTCTGCATCTTCAGCGCTTCTGAACTCAAGCTGCTACATACTGTCCAACTTTTTATTTTATTTTATTATTTCTTTTACTTATCATTTATCATTTTCTTTTGTTACCACTATATAATTACAATTTGTTTAATGTATATATAATCCTACACTCACAATATATTCAAATTTTATTACTGTGATCATACAAACAATTATTAGTTTTCTGATTTATGTTTTCTCATATATAAATATTTTGTAGCTCAATACAATCTGTAACACTATTGATTTGTTGTTTCCTCATTTTCTGGTGATGCTCACTGCGGTACCAGAACATGTATAAAATTATACCATAATAAACAATGATTGATTGATTGATTGATTGATTG